CATCGCCCAGGGGGCCTGACTGACTCCTAATACCGTCAGATTATCAACCCATCATTAGTGGACATCGGGGCAAGAGGTTCCTGAACAGGAAATCGACGTGGCTCTAGCAGAGGTAAGCGAGCTAGTGCCAGGCGGCCCGAGTCCTCCAACTATTGAATAAATGTCAAGACTCGTTCGGTGCTCTTTAATGCGAGAAACATCCAACCGACGAAGGAAACTTTCCAACAGATTTAGTCACGCTCCCAGATGAAGCGATTTATACAGGCTTCCCTCGCTTTACACGGATTCGCATTTGCACGGTTTTTTAATACCAAAAATCCAATAAACTCAAACCGTGTATCTGCGAACCGCACCCCGTGCTTTCCGAAGTGCGAATCCGTGTAAAAAAAAATATATAAAAAGAACCGTGTAAAGCGAGGGAAGCCTGTACTGGAGCAAGGACCATGCCGGCCGAAGGGGCCCTACTTGAGGGATAAAATTCAAGACCGCTCCTTCTCAGAATCGTATTACAATACCACAACGAAGTCGGGGCTGTCCATCCCAGTAACCTGGCTGTTATTCCCGAAAACTGGGCGCCGCTTTCTGTGAGCCCTGTTGACATTTTGCTGACAGAAAGGACTCCAAATACCATTCAGCCTTGTTTACGGGCATATGCAACTGGCGTGGACTTACACGAAAAATTAAAGTTCATGCTAAATCAGTTTGGAGATTTGGAAACAGAGCTACTGCAGGATATGAAAAGTGCGCAATTTTCCTCTATATTTATGGATGCGACTCAAGACATTTAAAAAAAAAGACCAACTGAGTCATGTCTACCGATTTGTCATGCTTCAATAGCAGATTTATTACATTAATACAGTGAGTAGCAAACCTGTCATGAGGAATTTAATTTTTTTTTTTTTTTGGGGGGGGGGGGGGGGGGGGGCCCCAGAATTAAGTTTTTTGGGGGGGGGNGGGGGGGGGGGAGGGAGCTCCAGAATTAAGTTTTTCGGGGGGGGGTCTAAAATGTCTTGCTACGCCACTGCTTTCCACGCTTACGCGGTTCATAGCCCCTTACCGACGGACACCCTAATCTGTATAGATTCCTATCCAGCTTCAATGAGCGAAGTATTGTATTCTATAGAACTACATTAAAACTTAATAGAAATGTATGGGTTTCTAGACAACGTATTTGGCTATTTGCCATCATACAGATGCAAATCATCTGCATATTGCCGAACGGATTTATGACAGGGTTATAATCAGAAAAAATTCTCGAACACTCAAGGTCACATACCATCTCACTAAACGCGCCCTTCGATTTGCAGGCAGAGGAGTCCATGCACCATCGCGTTCTCTAGACGTCTCATGGAAGGACATAACATATGAAATATCTCCACTAGATGTCGGGATTGTCCAAGACCACTGAAGGCTTCTTGAGAGCCGCTTATCCTCCTGCTTTTGTCTATCCAAAATGGCTAAAATCAAGGAAACGAGAGAAGGTGAACTCAAATCATGCCAAAATCGATGCAAAATAAATTCAAGAACAGCGTTCGAGAGTTATCTAACTTCAATTTCTAATGCCTTCGAGGTCGAAGTTCTCTCTTCTTTTCCCTACCGTCTCTTTTCAGCCGGAAACATAGACCTCAAAATAGGGAAGACCGCTGGAATTGCCTTTTACACTGTCGGAAATTTTTATCGGAAAGTGGTTCCCTTGCTAAGGATACTAGGAATCTGGGGTGGAAAAAAAAAAAGCGGAACATCCTCAAACGGGAGAAAAAAAAAAAAGAAAAAAGGAAAACCGCAGGTACGTGAGGGAAAAATGCGGAATGCTTTCTCAGCGGCAAGCCTTTCTAAGGGAGGAAGTAAAGGTGCGCTGGTGATCAAAGGTGAATATCAGGCATGTACACTTTCGTGTGATACGTTAGGTACTCCGGGGATTTTATTCGTATGTTATGTGACCTGTGGCAACTGAATTTATGGATGCGAGAAGGAAAAAAAAGATTTCCTCTCGAGGGGAGGGAGATGGTCTCGTTGAGTCTAAAACTACTCCATACTTATGGACACACCTATTTCTTTGCTAAAATCTTTGAATTTCCAACGTTCACTACTGTGAGAAGACAGCAAAGAGGCGAGCAGCACCGTCAGTTTACGCGCACAGACGCACCTCAAGTTGAGTCATTCGGAAAATCTCATCACCGCACCGTCACAGCAAGTCGAGGGACAAAGATTGCCCTGTTTCGTATTCGTTCCATCCCCGTCAACATGTTGACGTTGTACCGTGTACGAAGATGGAAAGACATTAATTCTTGCGTCATGCCAAGGCCAACAGATGGTATAGAGGCTGTTCTGCATGTGATCCTTGTGGCGTTTACTCCTATCTCAGCTCCGTCATACGTTTGTTCAAATTGTCCTCGCTGAACCCTAACAGGACACGTGAACGATTCATTCTAAAGGGTTCTCCAGCCTCTCTCCCGTCTATTTCTAGATAAATATTCATATATCGGATATCATGAAGTTGGTCCTTATTATCCATGGATGATCCGCTCGAAATCTGTGGATGCAGCGGCCATTTGCACGCGACATGCAGATACATAAAAACTCCAAAGCCAATAAAAGATAAGGTTCATGGGAAATAAATAGCATGTCGAAATTCCGAATAAGATGATATGACTAAGGTTCATCCTCCTTGAAAAGTTGGCTTTGGAATACTATAATGAAATTAATTTGAAATTAAGTCTGCTTTGCTTCAAGCACAATCTCTGAACTATCCCTATTTTCTCATGTTTTCATGCCAGAACTTGCAAGAATAAAAAAAAGCTAGTGCGATTAGTAAAACTTGTTCTTACTTGTGCAGACCTCTACCTCGCCCCATGCTGAACATCCTCTTGAACAAAATGCTCCTGATCAAGGCGGTGACGTAAGAAAGGTTAACGGTATCGTTCCGGACTCTTGATGGTTTAACAGCATTTATGGCTAAAAATAGGTGAGATGAATGTTAGTCCTTCCACGAGGGAGCACAACTGGTTTGGGAGGTCTAATGACAACTGTGCACTGCTTCCACGTGTTTACGCACGTGGTCTCCATTCCATCCATTTCGAGCAAAGGAGGAGAGCCATCAGGAGGGAGGATTTAATCGACATTAAAATCCTCTACAAGTAGGGAAAGAAAAATAGGATCCGAAAATAGGATGGAGATGGTGCAAGGAAGGCGAAAGAGGATGAGAAGGTGGAGTGGGAGCGAGAGAGAAAACAGAGGATGAACGTGCGGCTGTTGCCAGGCGGGAGGAGAGAGAGGAGAAGAGAAAGAACACAAAGGGATGGGGGAGGTCGGTGAGTGTGAGTGAGGGAGCGAGTGAGGTGCTGGAGTCGAGCAGGCGAGCACGGCTCACGGCAGGCTAAGCATCAGTCAGTTCGCAGCTGTTTCTGCGGAAGGTTCTGTCTCGCCCGTTGCCTTCGCCTGTATAGTTTCATTCCGCCGTGATTCGTGAACCGGTCGTGTCATGTGAAATTCATTCCGCCTCATCCAATGTGAATGGATTGGAACTGAGAGAGATCAGGTTTACAAGGCTTAGCTAGCCTATAAGTCTCATTCGTACCGTTAGTTACGATCTGGCCTCGACTGAGATTCGTAATAGTAAAGTTGGGCATCTAAATTCAGGCGGTTTACTCAAGTTAATCTCCGAATGCTTCTCAATATTTACTATGAATTCGTACCTCTTTCAACATAGGCTTAATTGGTCTAATTCCACTTCTTCCATGAGAGGTATACCCGCACCTCCTTCCGTCCATTACGGAGTTAACATTCACCATGGAGGTAGGTGGTTTGATAGGAATTAATTTGCAAATAACTGTACGTTAAGATTTCACACTGGAGGAGGGCAACAGAGGTCTGTGATAGCTTATCCAGGGTAGAGACGACGGGCTGGAACGATCCCAGCGAGGCTGTCAGCCGGTCAGCGCAAGCCCAGTAATGGTTGGTCCTCGTCTCGATTTATCTGGACATAATTACAGTGAATAACTCAACAACTTAAGGAAAGGAGTAAATGCGTAAAAGAGTGGTGCAATAGAGCGAAAATAAAACTGCTCAGCTCCTGCAGGAAAGACTCTTTAACGCGATCTGAAGGATTGGCAATTATTTAATGACTTGAAAATGTTCAATTTTAAAAGTGAAAATTTTCCCCCTTAATCAGAGGCCTGGAGTCAAAGGGGTTTTCGGGAATATTTGAACCGATCGAAAAACACGAAAAAGGAGAATGGATGGAGCGCGTTCCGCTTCCAATTGTTCCACGCATTGTGTCATGTGATGTCATCAGAACACGAAGAGTTACTCGTGTCGATCATGGGACTCTTCTATCCTTCCCGACGAGGAGGAAGATAGGGTACGACTCCATTTCAGATCCTTATGCAGAGAAAGAAAAGAATGAAATGCGATTGGTGTTATGGAAAGGTATGGGAAGGTCATGTGTCAAGCCGTGGTTCCTGGTGTGTCTTCTCGTTAAGGATTCCACGCACGATCCTCCTAAGGTCTGCCCTCGAATACTAAAATGAGCATTGCAACTAAGCCTGCTTTTTCGCTCTCCTTTTCGGAGAAGCCGCCGCATTATGTACACCACCGTAAACATTGACATTGTATTAGGTTGGAAGTCAACTCAGGCCAAAGTTTTTTTTTTTCATTTCGGGGCGGGGATGTTGGTATGAAAGACGGTTTCTTATTCCCGAGTGACACGTTGACCCCCCGACCTTTGGCAAGAGGTAAAAAGAGTTATTCTCTATGGAAAGGAAGAGAGCCAAAATTCCGAGGGCGAGTTTTTTTTGTCGTCGCAGGAATTCGAGGTCACAGCCGAACTAGTTTGAACTTGGACCCTAAGCGCGCACTTCCGGTTCTTTCATCCCTGAGTCAATGGCGAGAGCCATCTCGCATCCTTTTTTTCTCGAGTGTTGTCGCTTTCCCCATTTGCTATTTGTAGTAGACTCAGCTGGCCAAGCATAGGAGTAGGTACTATTTATCTGCTCAGCGTCAACTTTTTTCTCCCCCTATACCCCCAGGTATTCTCTTGAGGGAAGGGAGCTGTTAAGATTGAATAATAGCCACCCACAGGAAAAATAAAGGAAGGAGAGAGATCGTGGCTAGATTCATCTTTTACACAGGCTCCCGGTGATAATGACGCTGGCAACAAGCACGACGACTGTGACGAAGGCCCCAGAGGCAGGCCCTGACCTAGCTGGATCCGAACCCCTCCATCCGTATAACACGAGGAGGAGAACGAAACGGGTCGCCTTCAATCGCGTCGTGGACATTCGCCTTTACGTCGTCCCTGACACCAACGCCAACAATATCCCTCATCATCAGAGGCGCCATTGCAATTATCCTTTAGGTCTTCGACTGAATCGGAAGCAACTGCGAGGCCTCACACAAACGGTCCTTCCTTCGAACATCATTCAAGTTCAGCCGCCTTGCATCCCCATGGATGACAAGAGTGTCGAAATCGGTCAACCCGAGGTGAGAGGTCAAACGTGCACATGTGATCCCCCTGTTCTTGTTTTGATCATGAGGAGCAAAGAAAAAAAAATCATGACGAGGTGGGAGCGGTAACTCGTCTGGTTCGCAGCGTTCAGGGTCAGACTGAGATCCAAATGGGAAGAGTGCCAATGAGACAAACGATCGTCACATGTGACTCTTTTTCCAGACACCATTTCATTCACTGTTATCACAGGAATCAGTGGTCAAAGGAGACGCAAGGGTTATTTTAAATGTGTGTCTGTATAGTCCGGAATAGGGTTTGGGGAAGGGAGAGAGAGAGAGAGAGAGAGGGAGGGAGGGAGGAGCGGTGTGTGAGTGTGAGTGTGCGCTTGGCAACAGGGCCCCACCGGCCCATAGGCCAGGATGGAACAAAGACTCTGGCTGCGGTAGTCGCAGTCGCCCTCATTCGTCCTCTCCTCTGGTTCTCTAGGCTTTTCGCTATCTCGCTTCGGGCTCTCTAATTTTCTTCCTCTAATTACATCTCATCATAAGCCAAGTACGGACTGACCTATTCCTTAGGCTTCTGGCTAAGACTTTAACCCATCGATGCGCTGCTTTCGACAGAACTCTGAGTTTCAGACACACTTAATAAGGGTTACTCGTGCGGACTGTCATAAGATAATTCTTCTCCCATTATATTATTATCACACTGATCGGAAAAAGGAGCTAAACCATTAAGAAGCTTCACTGATTATCTTCACATGGGGATGGGGAAGGAGTAATTTCAGGCAATTGGGATTTTTTTGTTTCCTTTAGAATATTTCGCAGTGTAAGCCCACGTAGAAAAGGGCGTCATGATGCCCTTTTTATATAGTAAGATCGAAGGTAGAGTCATAAAGGAGCGGGGTAGGAAAAATACACCACGAGCTGTGAGGTAGAGATGACTTAGTTTACTTTTATGAAGACAAGCTATTATTCAAGAAAGGCCGGGAGCGGAAGGCACATGGGGGACGGAGAGAAACAGCTGAGTGGAGGATTGCATCATGCAGAGGCTTCTCCATTGGTCCGCTTCCCCTGGCACCACTCCCCTCTCATTGGTCCTTGTTCTCCTCCCAGTATTTACCACTAGTACTAGGGGAGGTTACTTCCATATTGAATACAGGATCGCGACAGGGTGAGGTTAGGCTTGGCCTTGGTAATGTGCATGCGGTGATAAAGAGAGGCACTGTTTCAAGGACTTATTCTGTTACACTTGTCATTCCCTTCGGTCTATTCACTGCAATGAATCCTTGAAGCGATCTTGTTTCTTTCGATTGTGGGCACTAATGGAGAAAGAGGGGCATCCAGAGGGGTAAATTTTCTCTGATGTGGAGCATTGCAATACAGTGCAGGCAAGGGAGCGTGAGAGAGAGAAGGGGAGAATGGGAATGATTGCACATGGGATTGGCCGACACTCGGCCAATCCGAGACCTCCCTCGCCAAACAGCTGATTCACTCCCAACGTGCTTCTCCCCTTTGTTGCCTTGCCGACAATTTTTCGGCTTTTGCCCACTTTTCCTTGATCGAGTATACATCACATTATGGTGACGTGTGCTTCCCAGGCGGGGAACGAGGAAGAAATGTGCGGTAGGAGAAGGAAAGAAACAGAAGTGATATTGAATCGATTGGCATCCGTTCATCCCAGCTTCTTCGAGTGCCATCGGTTCCTCATGAGAGGGGATGGGCCTCTTCCCTTCCACTATCGCAACTATCTCGCTCTCCTTGTGAGTCCTACCCCTCTTTCTTAATCGAACAAGGCTAACCAGTCACGAATGTGTTTGAAATAGTTAAGACGCTTAAAGAGAGACACGCGCGAGGGATGGATGTCTCGACGGCAACAGTGAAAGAGAATAAAAGAAACCTACTTGGACTTGTCTCTTCACGGTTGACGTCAGAGAACCAATGACAAGGTCGAATCTTATCCTGTCCAGACTAAACAGAAACAAGCTTATTATTCCAAGGTCAGGTGTGCTTCGCCTTTTGATTCGATTCAGCTGTCGAGTCAGAGTCGGAGCCTGTAGGTAGCAGCACCGGCCAGAGCGAATATCATATGGGGTCCTCCGGGGGGGGAGGGGAGGAAAACACCGGGTGCAGTGCGCATACGCGGAGTGTGAGGGCGGTGCTCGAATCGTATACCCCCTTTAGTAAGGAAGAGGAGAGAGAGGGTCCCTGTGGCGCAGTGGATAGCGCGTTGGACTTCTAATCCAAAGGTCCCGGGTTCGAATCCCGGCAGGGATGGCGTTTTTTTTTCCCTCCTTCAAAGGTTACATCTGGTTAATGCGTGATGGCGCAACCAGACTGATATAGAAAAAGTGAAGAGCTCCACTTGGAGGACTGGCTCGTGGCTCCCACCCCTGCTTGAGCCTGATCCCATCACATGAACAATCATACATATCACGATCATGTTAAGTCCCATAGAGTATTGGTTTCAAGTGCCACCAAACGGAAAAAGAAAATGTAAAATATCTAATGCCTATTTTTCTGCATGAGCCCCCTCCCCCCCCCCCTTCAGAGTGCTAGGTTAATGGGATGTCTCTGCTCCTCTTGAATACTCATTAGCTTAATTAATCTTTAAAATTAAAATATTATTTTATTTCTCTTGCATATTGCTATTTGATTGACACATGATGTGTGGTAGAATTGGAGCTCATGCTGTTATGGGCTTATTCCATAGGTTTGCTATAGCTAACCTATAAATAAAATCCTTTGCATAAAATCCTGTTGTACCAGCAAGGTTAAAGTACACAGTTTTTGGATTGCATTCATACCACTCAGAGAAAGCCCTACTGAGGATCCCTGAGGATCCACCTCATCATATGACACAAAAAACTACCCCTGTGGAAGGTGTCATTGTCAATGGTAGCTACGCTCCTACGGGAGGGAGGATGAATTTTTATCCAAAAAGAGCAATTTAACTTCCTTCCTAACTCACCCATTTCTCTCTCATACTAAATCAAAGCTCCAAAATATTCATGGTTTCAAAAGCATTTATTTGTGAAAAAAAATCAGACAGACAGTTTCACTGTTATTCGAGGTTTGAGCTATGTCTGGCTTGATCCAGCAGATTGATATAAACTTAGGTTATTTTATGTAACCCTCCTGGCATTTATGACAGCTACTATTGGATTCATATTAATTCCATATAGCTGGAAGAAACATCTGTAGTGTGCCTGATTATTCCTCCTTGTCAGTCTTATAAAACAATGACCCAGAAAGCTTTTAGAGGAATTTAAACATATCATCATTGGAGTGTACATTGTGCAGGTAAGGACAAGTTTCTATCTAGGTTGTTCTCACAAAGTGGTTTAATCCCAGGAGGTTGACTTACATATTGTAAAATTCTACTCACTAATCTAATTCTCTGATGTACAGGCAGTGGGAACAGGAGGGGGAGGAGGAGAAGAGTATTTCTGTTTGGAGGGTCAAGAGGGGGAATGGATGAAGAAGGTTCCCTCCATGGGAGATCTTCCCCCAAAGCTCAGACCCCTTGCTCACTTCAATCATCTTCTCTCTCATGCTCCATGGACTTTGCAGGAAAGTATCAAGGTAAAGTAATAGACCTCTGTTATCCTTTGATTTCTCTTCCTCATTGATGAGTCAGAGGTAGACTCATGAGTCATGAGAGGTACCATGTAAGATCATTCAAAGTGTACAAAAAAATGGAACTCTTCATAAGTTCATCAATTATGTCATCACTATTTCCATCAGGAGCTGATCCGTGTGAGCTGGACCCTGTCAGAACTGGTGCAAGGAGTTGTGATAATGTGTCATTTCCATGCATTGTCTTCCTTGGCATCACCTGCTCTCTTCCTACTTCAAGGTAGCCATACATTCATTTCCAAATATTGATCCATTATGAGAGGACTCCTTTCATCACTTAATCAATTCTCCAGTGCAACACCAGTCTCTTATCTATTTCAGATGCCAGGAGGGGTTCAAGTGATGAGGACAAAGAGAATCGATCAAGGTTTGGGGATATTTTCCAAAAAGCTCACTAATTTTTGAAATTAATTTATCAATTTGCCTATCATGTGCTATGATCTCTTGGAACAGGCAAAAGAGGATCTCAGGTATGCAAGTCTTTCAGCCCGAATCGCGTCCAGAACCTGCATCCTTTGATAATGAATCCTGTCCAACTTCCTTTAGAATCCAGGTAAGTCTCTTTGTTTTGTCTGATATTTTTTTTTCAGATTTGAATAGCTGTCTGAAAACTGTTTCATTTATGGTGTTCAGGAATATTCTTGGGAGGAGCATGGATTTTCAATGGCCAGTCGACTGTATTCAGATGTTGGACCATACTTAGATGACAGATTTTGTCATGCTCTTGCCTTCCAGCGCAAGGATCCCTTCCTCACTGCTATATGGAACCTCACTCTTGATCTCTTTCATATCAGGTATGTTAGGCCAATACAAATTCCTGTGCCCATGACAACTAAATGATAGGTCAGTCCTATGGCTCCTAGGTAAGGTTAAGGCAAAGTCAAATATCATTTTGCCCATGGTATTGTGTAATTTCAGCTCAATACTGCTAAGTCTAGCAAAATAGAGATTTCTAATTAACAAACAAAAGGCCTGGTGAAGACCTCTGGTGTACTTTCTTTTGGCTGATTAGAACATTTCAGATTCGTTTTCTGTGCTATTATTGAGTATATGTATATACTTTCATCTGTTCACTGGCACAAATTTTAACCCACCGAACCCACCCACTCTGTCTCTTAATTAAACGAGAGGAGGAGTAAGCCTACTGAAGTCAGCTCAGCCTTGAGGATGAATGTTTCACCAGCAGGATGTGTGAAACTCCAGATATGCCTACTGCTGGTGAAAATTTTCATAATTCCAGTGAACATCAATTTTTATCATTTTGTGGTAACATTTCCCTTTGCAAGATTGGCCAAGTTGGATTCAACTTTATTTTTTTTAATTACAGTGTTTTTCACTTGAGTTCGACAATTTTTCACTTGACTCAGACACACGTGCATGGGACGTTCCTCATGCATGGGTGTCAAAGTCAAGTGAAAAACACTGTACAAGCAGATATGAGGATGCAGTGATGTGAAAATTTTTGCATTCAAGTTTTTACCAGACAAGTTCACAGATTCATATTTTGAAAAATTCCATGTACCAGAAAAAAAAGTTGATGGACCTTTTTAAATCCATAATCAATCCTATCACTCTCATCGTATGGGAAGAACAGTTGCCTGCCCATTGAAGGCGAAGCATCCTGAAAACCAACCAGCAAATGTGCTTCTGATGGCCTTCAAAACTAAAGAAAAATAATCCATTCCCCATGTGGTGGCCATTAATGGTCCATGGCATTAACAGCGTTGCTTGCGCAATGCCATACGTGTCACGCTCCACTTAACTCCCTCGCTTGTTTGGTGAATCTCCTCTAGGCTGGATGACTACGACTACAAGGAAATCGATACCTGCCTGACTGAGAGAATGCAGCGATTCATCAAGAAAGCAGCCTTATGTCCGAAGGATTTGCAGCCAGAGGATTTACACGATATAGGACTTGAGGAACTCAAAGTCAACCCGGTGAGTCAGACAGCGTCCACCCCCAAACGGGCGTGACGATGGAGCTGATGGAGTTTATCAGGCTGCAGGACCAACTTCCTCGTATTCACTTCGCATTGCAACAGATGAAGGTGTTGCTGATCATCATGGAGGCTCGACTACAGGCAGAACTCCTACATGCACTACGGGCCATCACCGCCTTCACCACATGACTGAACGCAAGGAACATCACATCGGATGCATAATCTTCCTCTCTCCCGAAATTCATCTTCCCGTATCGGACACATTATCTAGCGTTAGTGAGCCTGTGTGACTTTTTTTTTCATTGTCCCCCTTTTAGCCTGTGATGATATGGAGTAATAAGGACAACTTTTAATATAACAAGACGATCTCTGTGATCAGCAAAGCAGCTTGTCTGTCTTTCTGTCTCTCTGGACCAAAACACAACAGGTAAGAGTGAGGAGACAAAAGTGGTTTTTCTCTCTGTGATGGCTTGTATCTCCTCCTCTACTCCTGTATTTTTTTTGTCTCATTTCTCCTTTATTTTCTGTGATGAGCCTGAAAGGAGGCCTAGCTTAGTTCTAGTGCACTGTTGGGATCTCAAATGCAATCATACCAATGGAAGATGGATCCCAGATAGACAGAGGACCTTTCTCTTTTTCTATATTCAACTTAGCCTGGATTGATTTGTTTGGTTTTTATTTTTTTCTCCTTGAGTGATCAGAAATGCAGGAATGAATAAAGGATGAGGTCCATCCATCCTATGAATGCATCTTATCTCTCACTCAGTCTTTCCAAAGGAAAAGAACTTCACAAGAATGACTAGAGGATTGATCAATTTTATTATTGAATTACTCCAAATCTCATGCTCTCTGCACAGTTGTATCATGATTGCAGACTTAAGCGAGAAAGGGAAAAAAATCCTTTCCTCAAATCTAAAAAAAAAAAAAAAATATTGAAAGACTTGGCAGTCATGTCTGTCATATTGGAGGTGGGGTTTCATTAACATACATAAGCAGAAAGCTCGAAGCTCTCAGAGTGACAGGACTGGCCTGGAAGCAGAGTGTACTGGCTTGCACTTGACTTGGGGAATGAAAAGGAATAGGAGCAAAGATGGGAGAGAGGAGGAGATATCACACAGCAGGGTAGAAGTGCATCTAACTTTAGCTAAACAGAGAGAAAATGTGTGTCAGGGTTCAGAGGAGGAGAAAAAGAAAGGTTAGATGGGAAAGAGGGTTTACTCATGTCATGTATTGCATGATGGCACGGAGGGCATAGAGAAGGCCAGCTTCAATCCGAGCCTCCATCACCATTAACATCACATGAATCTGCAATCATAGCAAAGGAGAATCTGCATACCACAGGGTGAATGGCTTCAAAGGAATCAGGATGGAGAAGGCTAACTTTTTCTGAATAGAGGAAGCCAGGCATGACTTGGGTAAGGTCATGGGATGTAAGTCGTTCAGGGAAACAGCAAGCCATCTTTATGAATGATTTCAGGCTTCTCTCCAGCAACTGGTTCACCTCATGATAATCGTAGTCATCATGCCTGTGCCAACATGTGAAGATAGCATCAGATAATTTCAGTTCAACCTCAATTTGGTCATTTATCAGGATTCAGCTAGATCCAAAGAAAAACCAGACAACTCTGAAAATCAACATCCATACCCAAACTACTGGTAGGTCCAAGTTGGTCCAAACCCATGACCATTCCCACTGAAATCAAAACTAAGATTGCATTAGTTAGGTTTGTGAGGGTGGAAAACGCACCTAACAAAAGCATGTATGTGCCAGAGTGACTCCTCACTTTTCTACATAATGTAATCAAATCCCGAGCCTCTTCTTTAGCATGAGTATTTATAACCTGTTACTGAATTACAAAAGGTTTCTGGGCAAACTTCTCTGAGGGATCTCTACACAAGCATGAGCACACTTGCCCCAGACAAAATTGCACATATATCTTTTATATATGCAAAGTGAAAAAAGTCCAACTTTGGGAAAAGGTGGATGAAGAAATTATTAGTTTTTTTTTTAATTCTTCCCTGGTCTACAGCTTAGAGACTGTTCTTTTTTTTTTTTTAAGAATTTGACATGCATAAAAAATGTGTTAGCTTTCATACCATTTGCTAGGTGCAGTCAGAAAGTCCATGGCATTATACTGTAACTCCTAAAGTACATTAAGTTTCCCAATGCCACTTCTCAATATTGTAGAGTCTCCTCTCTACAAATAAGTCGCCACCATTTTAACCAGTCTTTCTAGCCACTAGAACTATACATCACTGCACACTGCCTGTATTGCAACAGAATCCATGGCTGAAAATCCATTGAACTCTAACCACATCCTCCCTCTTTGCCAGATATTGCTCTGAGTGACTTCTAGCTGCTTGGAAAGTTCAAGGATTTCTTGCAAGAAAAGAAATTCCTTTGATACTAGCCCTGGGCTCTGCAGTCTGCCAGTGGTTCAAACATACACCAATGACTTCACCAAGTGTTACAAAGACTAGTTAAAACGGTGGAAACTGTGTGTATAGAGAGAAAGAGACTATGCACCTAGTAGTTGGTGGTTTCCTAGAAATAGCAGAACACTCCCCCAAAACACTTCACAGCATAAGCCCATAACACCAAAATGCTCAAATTTAACAAAGGTGGATTTGTAGCAAAACCCAAAAATGATGGGAGTTTTTTTTTTTAACTAATGGATGGATAAAAAGTCCAAAAACTTTCTCTGATGCAAGGACTTAGGTGCCCATCTCACAATCAAACAAAACAACCTTGGTATATACAAAAACGCTTACCTGCTTTTATGAACGTTTCCAAAAATAAGCATAATGTCACCATTTGATGAATTATTTACATTCCAAAGAAAAGGACAAGAATGAGTATTCACAGGAAAATTTCCTTATGAGCCTGCTGTGACCTATCATTTACAACTGACTGGTACAATCCAGTAAAGTCTATTGTAAACCAAACGACCACATTCAGTAATAGCCCAATAAATATGGTCCAGAAATGCACCAGTACCCACTGAAGTAATGCATTAGTAACCACCACACCCCTATATTGAACAAGAACATGTACATGCTAGCAGCTATTAGTTATTTCACTATTGTTGAGAGGTATGTTTGTCAAGGAGAGTTACAAATAAAATGTAATTCCAAGATACTAGTAGATTGGCAGAGGATCTCATCTAAGTGTTTCGCCAAACACTCGACTATTAGGCTAAAAAAAAACATCCAAGCAGACATAGACCTGATGCCATAGAGACAATGGATGTAATGCCAGACAGCACGCCGGAACATGGTGGTGTCCACATTCTTCTTGTTGCCCATGGTATAATAGGTAAGGTCATAAGCTGTCTTCAGTTTTAGATCCATCAGCCCACTAGCCTTCTCTGAATACAGTCGACTCATCAGGCTGAATCCCTGTTCCTCCCATGAGTAATCCTGGGTACACACCAAGAGATTAAGATCTTCATGTATATATTTTGATAGCTGAACAAATGGGCACTCTCTCTTGTGTAGTGTACAGGGCAACTGACCTGAACACGAAAGGTGGGATAAAGCTGGGGCTCATTCCGATGGGAGAAATCAACATAGGAGAAGTCAGGGGCATCCAGAAATCGATCCACATCTTCCATGGGCTTGGTCCAGGACAACTGCTCCCGCACCAACAATTCTGCACTGCCAGCTTCCACTGCAAGCATAAAGGACTAAAGGCTGCAAAATCATGGGACAAGAATGATTCAGAATCATTCATACAAGTCCCTTTGAACTAAACAGACATGATTCAAAGATGAGAGCCCTCTCTTCAGGAGAAGCCTCCCCTGCAACTGCAGCCTCTTTCTGAAGCCTCTTCATGGCATCCATCAAGTACTCCACCTGATTCTTCAGAGATGTATCTGTCTCTGCTGCCTTCATCTCTTCCCCAACTACAGATCAATGAAAGAAACTAGGTTTGTATCATCTGCCATATATAAAATTGGCACTACACTATCTAGAATAAAACATTGGTTATGAATCTACTTGGAGGAGGAGGTAGAGGATTAGGATCTGCAGATGAAGGAGATATGAGATGTTGTTCGATGCCCGTGCCATGGACGAGGGAAGAAAGAGCATGGAAATGGAGCATTATCACAATAGCATGAACCACCTCGGACAGCGACCAACTTCCTTTCATCAGATTCTGCCAGAGAAGGATGGTTAAGGGAAGGAAAGCTCAAGAAATCAATGCAATTTGGCAAATGAGAGTAAACCTGAATGTGTTGTGAGGATAGGATCCAAGGTCGATGGGCAAGGATGCGATTGAGTTCCGAGATTGAGCAGAGTTTTCCTGGAGCTGCATGGAGACCACAAAGCCATTCCTGATTGCCTCCCACAGATGAGAACGCAGCCATTTGACTCCGCACAAGGACCAGGCTCTGATGTCGAGCTGATGCCTATCACATGCATCATACATCACCTGAGTTGACTTTATTTCCATTCGTATTTCCAAGAAAATAGACGACCACCAACTTTTCCTTTATTGTTATTCTGAGGGAAGCTAGTGAGAACCAGACCTCAGACTATCATACATCTGTCTGCTTTTAATGATAATACAATATCCATCAATACCTTAATGTGTACCACTCTGAATGCCACTCACTAAAACTGAGCTTCAGATAGAGGTGCATGCCATAGATAAAAACATCTACAAGAGATTTTCCACAAAAAAACCAGGTACATTAATAGTTGCAAACCTTATTTCCACAAGGAGCAGTATCCCACACATCATGTCATTTCATTACAAAATAATTATAAAATGTTCATAGTATTTTTTTTATTTTGGTGAGGATGTTGCATCCTTCATTATGATATGGTCTGACATAAAAAAAACTTCCTCCACAACTGAGACTTAGATGTTGATACCTAATGCATTTTGTAACATTCTTGGGCAATATATTTTTGCATCGTACCTGGGAGACATACAACTGTAAAAGTAGAGTCGCCATGTCTTTTTAATATTAATTTCCATGAGAGAAAAAAACTCCATGTTTCCTTTCAATGCTGTCACTCCATTCTGCAACAACCAACCGCAAATCTTTGAAAACGACATTAACCATCTATAAAATCATCTATCAATGTCAGTGGTGGCTCAGGATAATGAGCAGTATGGAGGAAAACATGAACCTATACCACCTAAAAAGGCAGATAATGAGGAGTTTCTTCTTAGAAATGCATACTTTTGATTGCATTTTTAATTGAAGTATTTTGCGGTTTTTTTGTGATACATTGAATTTTTTATGCTCTCACACTTGAAACACACAGAACTGATTTTGTTTGTAGCTTCAGATTAAAATATATCACAAGTTTTTTCCTTCCACTGGATCATAAAACCAAGCTTATTCACGCAAAAAGATACGGAGATATTTTCGTATAAGTTGTCAAGATATGAACCAAATATGGTTTCTCTTCTATATAGCCAGATAAGATATAGACTATATTTGTACTTGGATACCTACTGAACTCTGCTAAAACCCTTACTGGCAGATACAATGACATCATTAAGACATCATATCGAAGGACGGGACTTCATAAACTTATGACATTCTGCAGCAAGTCACTATTTTCAATTACCTTGGACTTTTACAGGAGCAGAAGCCACAGAAATTACAATACGGTAAATGTATGTTCACACTTAAATTTTTACTCAGCAAATAAATTGTGACTCAGATCTATGCCTCTCTGGGGTTAAGATCAGATATACTTCACCATTTGGGATGGAGAGCCCTCACAACTTTTGGCAGAACAGTCAAGTGTAGAGTCTGTCTAATAAGTGAAAGGGTATGCTTTGCACTCTGGGGATGTAATGAATACTTGGTCGGTCCAGTTAACTGCTGGAGTGGGATGTGGGAACGGGAAGACATACCATGATGGCAAGATAACGTCTATAGTTGAAGGGTAAGGGACCATCCCCTTTAAGGATGAGACTCAGGGTGTTCATGAAAGTTTCTAGGTAGACAGGATGATCATCCAAAACCTTCATCAACTGACTCCCACTGCATTCCTCTCCTTTCACATCTTCGCTCACATCCTCTTTCAACCCTGACTCTTCCCTCTTTTGGATCCTCGGTCTCAGGATCCCATTGCTTGGCACCAAGGATTCCATAACCAACTGCATCTGAAACGGAAAACAGCACGAGGATATCATGGACAGTGAATCGCTCAAGGAGGTGGAGGACGACGGGGAATTGAAACGGACCTGACAAGGCAAGGCCATTTGTCCCATATCCTGGGAAGGATCCCTTCCCTCATCAGATATCCAATGACTATGATAGATGAAAATTACGTGGAGCGCAACACGGAGGACGAATACAGATATGGATACATGATACACACGATCGTTCACGAGTCGTATCTCGGAATATCATCCATGGCATGCACTATTACCAGGATCTAGGCCACGCTGGATTGTGGGAGGGCCATGTAAGCTCTTTCACTGCATCTGGAAAAGACGACAGGATGAAGAAAATAGGCAAAACGCGCGTGCAAAGAACGAATGCACTTGGTTTAATTTATTAAACGCTGAAAATTAATCTATTCCAGAGCTCTCATTTCCATCGTTTATCTTCCGTTCGTTACCACTTTTCCCCGTTTATGTTTCCGGCTTCATCCTTCAACCATAAAAAAAAAACATTTTTTTTTTCAGGAATTCAACCAAGGAAATGTCTCCTCATGCCATCACACAGAAGGCTTGGAAACGTTTATTTGGGCAGGGAGGCATCTAAGTAACATAAGCGAATTTAGGCGAACTAAGCGAGCACATGCTTGGGTCAAGCCCAGGCATGCCCTTCCTTGCCCTCGTGAGATATCGACCCCTCTCCTGTAACTTCACCTAACACATGAGGATGATGTAACCCTTCGTAATCCCAGTTCCTCGAGTCACCTCCAAAATTCCCTTGCGCCGAGGCGTTCCCCTCCATTCCCAAACGTGCCAGAATTTCCTCTCGAAAATAAAAGACCCCGGACTCGGGTTTGGAAGCCGTGTCCCATGTAGTGAAAACCAATCAACCCGTCCCCGCATTCCTTTCAATTCTCTGGGGAGCACTAAGTATTCCCTTGCACCGCGCTTCTCTCACGTCACCAACTGGGAGCGACTGTCACGATCAGTTGTAACGTTCATGCCGCAACGGGAAGTCGTAAATAGCGGAGATTCCAATTCGGTGGCGTAGAGTCGAAAACTCAACAAGCGAGATTCCAAGTGGAAAGCGCCGAGGAACTCAGGGCGTCGTTTTTATTATAAAAAAATAATATAATAAATAATAATAATAATCATAAAATAAATAAATATAAATAATAATGAAAAACTTGCATGAATCACCACCAACTTCCATTCCGGGCATAAATTCCACAAAATTCCTTTTCACAAACATCATGGGATGTTCGGAATTGGGAAAACTTGGTCTACACATAAAATTACTAATATTTAATGGCTAGGCTGGCAGACCTAGTTAACGTGGAACGAACAGATCAGAACGGCTGTTAGTGAATTTATTTTTAATTAAAGATGAATTTACATATTTTACAAAGAAAAGCAAACTCTTACTCTCGAAAGTAAAATCTACTTATTCTTTCTTCTTCCGACTGACGGAAGGAGGATAGTGGAATAAATAAAGCGGCCCGGGTGGGAATATCCATGATGATAAGAGAGAGTCGTTAGTGCGGTGGCAGGAAGACAGAAACGTACAGGAAAGGCAACACCATTGCACGGAAGGGCGTCTAGTCAAAATTACACGAGGTACGAAGAGACAATGGAGACATGGTACGGTAAGCAAATGGCGAAGGGAGGCTATGCCTAGCAACTAGATATTTTCCACCGATAGCCTAGCGGAGACTGGAGCGGAGAGTATGCAACATGAACGCTTACGTTGTTCAGAGGAGTTCATGTAAGGCCTGACCTACTTTTCCTATCAAACCCTGCTCCGCACGTATATCAACTGGACTGACTGACAGGCCTGGCATGGGAGCGCAGTCAAAACACGGGCTGACGCCAGAGGAACCTCGAGTCACAATGAAAAAGACAAAGAAAGGGCTGCACTCCACGGCCAACCAAAAAATACCGGAGTTATTTGCTCCAGAGGCGAATCAAAAAGAATTTTAAAACTGGGAAGGGAGACATCAGCTGAGAGACCGGACGGTAAGAAAAAGTAGGGAATTCGGGGGAGAGTAGCGTGAATAGGGAGAAATCAGCTGAGATGAGGAGGAGGTTGGGAGAGGGAGGGAGGAGGGGGTGGGCGCAGTGCGGGAGAGGATTGGCTGAGACTCGGACCAACGGAGGCGTCCCATGGAGCATCAACCCTCGATTGGCAACAGTCTACAGGCCGCGCGGCAAGAGCGCGCATCCACCACCAAGACCAAGGTCAGACCTCCATCGCTCACAACTTTTTCACAGGATCTCCTCGGCCGTCGCAGTCAAGGCCAGACAGTCTCCCGTCCCGTCCACGCGCGGCCAAGCCAGGCGCCTGGCTTCACTGCCAGATCGATGCCCGCGTTTTATCGACTCGAGCCGGACAAAGCCAGATGCCGTCACAAAGAAACGGTACCAAAGGCGAGCTCACCATTATAAATCACTTCACACCGGGCGGAACGAGGGAGGAGTACAGCACCAGGAAGAACTGCGAAACTCAGTTGAGCCGGGGCATGGCAACTGTGACTCCCCTCCATGTGAGAGGCACGAGGGAATGTGAAAAGAGAGAGAGAGGGGGGGGGGGAATTCTCCAGGCAAGGCAAGGCGAATGCGCGTGCGAGTGCGAGTGCCAGTGTGCAGCCCGCACTGTTAGAGATGAGTCGGGTGACCGTTTTGGCGGTCCTAGCCCGACTCGACCCGACGTCCAAGCGTCTAAAACCGACGATAAGCCAGACTGCAGGGAAAGAATCCAGTCCCATTTTACGCTTTTTTTTTTTTTTTAAGCATTGCAATTGCAAGTGAAGCATGAGTAGCGCGTTAAGGAGTCTTACGTCAACCCGCACTGGCGCGTTTCTTCTCTTTATTCTCTTTGAGACTCACTAGTATTAGTAAAAAAAAAAAAAAAAAAGAATGTGCAGATGACGTGCTCAACGCCGGGTGGCAAGACCAGCAGCATGACATACAAGGCTTCCGATCAACTCCGACCGTTCAACTCCCATCGAATCTCCATGCTCGGCTCGTATTCTCATATCAGAGCGATAAGTACGAGCCAGATGACGGTGACCCGAATATTACGGAGATGGATCCCAAAAGTCCCTGAAGTCCTTCGGCAACTTTAAAAGTTAATTATAGCTTTAGTTTTAATCAACATTTAATTCGACCATTGCACTGGTCACTCGGCTCAACCAGTTTCTCGAAACAAGTTGATGAGCAACGCATTTACTCCGTTCTCTCAATTTATTGTCACAATCAATAATTCAATTCCATAAATTATAAATTGTCAGTTGAATTTATGACATTTCGGTTCGACTTCAGTCAGGACGTGTCGAGGAAAATATATGGACACGACGTGGATGTCTTAGAAACTATTTTCAAAGAGAAACAACAGTAGAACGAAGGTCTACTACGGTCACGAGAACTGAGGCTGAAGTTTTCACAGTCCAAGACGATACGGACATGTTAAATTGAGGTCCACTTCTTACACTTCATACTGACTGTCCCGGCTGCTTTTTCCGCTTGGGAAGAGCTCGGCTGACACCCAACGATCATCCACGTCACCGAAAGTCCTCATGAGCCACATTAAAGTGTGTCCAGGTTGAGTCTCATTTGATTATGATCGAATCACCACGACGAGTTTCCGATATTTTCGAAACCGCTTAGGGGACTCATGGACACCCGTCATACTGTTGATAAACATTTCTGAATCAATTTAATTTGACCTCAGCTCGCGCCGTTGGAATGTCGTCGCGCGAATTCCTCGTGTCGGCAGAACTCATCACTTCTAGAAGAGCAGCTGGTGAACGTTGCCGTGTTCCCACCGTAATCTTTTAGCGAACGTCAAGTAACGATCCTAAGGTCCGAGCTACTCGACCTCTTTCCCGTTCCCACGATGGCAGTCGGAAGAAGAAATATGCTTTTAGTGGTTAACGTGAGAGAAGAGGTGCCCTGTGGACGAATGGGACCGATGAGGGAGGACTCAGAAGTCTCAGCAAGCGACTTCACGATGCTTTAGCTCACAGTCATCCATCATGGGAGGCTAAGGTCTCTGACTGCTAGTAGTATCCTTCTCCATTCATATGCCACTCTAAAGAAGACCGTCTATCAGGGTTTTCTCGTGGAATGGCACGTTCTGAAAAGTTCGAGTATTTTATAAGAGGCATGAGCCGAGGTCATCGCAATCTGTATCTCAGAAACAACCGTGTCCATGTGTTCCTGTCTCGTCTGTCGCTCTCTATCTTCAAGCTGTGATATTCATGCCTTTTGTCGACTCTGAATTGAACGGATAAATGAAGACCAGGGCTGGATTAAGGGGGGGGGGGCTGTTTCCTCGGGCCCCACTCTTCCAGGGGGGGCCCCCGAAGGAACTTAAAAACGTTAAGTATTTGCGTGAAGGGGGGGGTTAGCCTCAAAAACTCACTTGCCCCGGGCCTCTCAACTTCTTAATCCGGCCCTGATGAAGACAATACATCCTCATCGGATGAGTCCAATTCAGGGCCGTATCTTGGATTTCATTTCGGGGGGGGGGTTGAGGTCTGGCGTACGCGCTGTGGCTATTTTTTTTAGACTTGTCATTGTAAGTCTTTGTGACATATCTGGATTTTCCTGTAAGTTGCAGTGTTTAATAAGTCATAAGCTATTAAATATAGAAAAACCAAGTACTGCACTGTTTACACCGACGAATAGCAGTATGGCAAAAATTTAAGCAAGATATTTCGGGGGGGGGGGGGTTTGAACCCCATGAACCCCCCCCCCCCCTAAATACGGCCTTGGTCCAATTTTGTGCCCCCAGTCAAAAATTCCAGCTGAAACTCGTTTGTGTTTTGGCTGGAATAAGGTGGAAACAGCTGGTAAATAGCTAGGTCTTTCTAGCTATTAGAGAAGTTGCATTTTGCTGGAATGGTCGCAATAATTCCCATGAGCGCCCCAAAGATATTACGTAGGGACTCTTGTTTTTTAACATCTGAAGAAGTTTCCAGGCATACTAACCCTATTTTGTGCACAATAGGTGATTTATATATATTTTTAAGTTTTTAAGACATGTAACTTTGCAATGCAAATTATTCTATTAGAATAAATACAAACGTTTGTGAATTCACTTTCTGAAATTCAGGTACACTATCTTCATTTCCAGACTGAAAGAAGTAGCTCTCCAGTTGGATTTTTTGATTGGGCCCTGCCTATATCTTCCAGTTTCCCTGACCATAAGGACCACTGACATTCAACACAAGATGAACATCTTCATTTCCAAAATAAGCAACAATCACATCTCATCATGGGGGAAGTGCACAATAATGAGAGAATAAACTGATTAATCACATCAATCAACTTTGGGCTTGCCAGTATCCCTGAGCATCCTCCAGGCTAGAAGGGATCCTGAAGCAGAACACAGAAGACTGATGGTAGCAGGTGCCCAGGTTGCCAATTCAAGACTGGCGCCAGCAGCCAGTGGGCTCGTCATGCGAGCAATGGAGGCAACGCTCTGACCCAGACCAACCATTGCCCCCAGAGCATCCTGGGGGCTTCTCTGCACAGTGACATCTGACCCAGCAACACGAAGCACAGTGTTGCAGATGCAGAAAGGGATCAGGGAGACAACAACGAGGACAAGAGATGGAGAGTATGCAAGTCCCATGAGAGATATACTTTGACCCAGAGAACCATAGAAAAGCATTCGATATGGATTCCCACTGAACAGGTTCAGAATCCAACCCATTTGGAAGCCACAAATTGTCCCTACCAAAAGAAAACAAGTAATCAATATAAAGGGCTTCTAGAGTAATTGAGTTCCCAGTGAAGCAGAATTACTTCTAAACTCACCAACTACCCCCTGGAAAGAGATCATGTATCCAATCTCCTTCTTGGAGAGGGAATAGTAATCTTCAAGAAGAAGTGAGAAGGAACTGCGGAACATGAGAGAAGAAAGACTGAGAAGGAAGCGAAGGCTCATCACGTCCCACATCCCCCATACGACCTCCTTCTTTTCTTCTAACTCTCTCCACCACTGTGGCCGAGATTTCAAGCTCCATGATTCTGCCAAAGGTATATCTTCATCCTTCATCTTCTTCTTCACAGGGTCATTATCCAAGATCACATACAAGAGGACTAAAATAAGACAAATTCAAGATAAAAGAGCTTCAATGTCTGTGTTCACTAAATCTGTGGATATATTTTGGTGAGTTCCAAAATAGATCACAGAACACTTGGCATACATGCATTGAGGAGAAAGATGGCAGCTGCCAGGGAGCAGATGATGGTGAACCCATGGGGAACATCCCCAAGATGACCTCCGACAACAGGACCAATTATGAATCCAAGACTGGACGAAGCATTGAAGCGGCCAAAGGCCTCAGCCTTGTCCCCTGGGATCATTTCAGCCATGACGGCCTTGGTGAGTGTCTGGCTGTGCTTGAACACACCAGCAAGTATACGAGAAAGGAAGAGGAAGAGGAGGACGTACACAAGACCCAATGAGCTGACTGAGCTTGCTTGGCCCAGAAGGAAATAGGTGAAGGATGTAGCAAGGCAGCACACCAAAAGTACCTTCTTCCGACCTGCTCGGTCACTCCAATGACCCTGAGAATTCAGATATAGCTCATGTGATCAAGACAAAGAAAATGTAGAGAAGAAAACCAAAACTCACAATGCTGGGTGAGGAGAAGAGCTGAATGGCTCCATAGGAGGAGCCAAGGACCCCAAGGAGAGTTCCTGAAGCACCTAGTGTCCGTGCATGGTTCGTCAGAGTGGGAAGGAACAGACTCACTGCAAACAAATCCTGAGAAAATACAGGGGAGGGGAAATATTTGAGGATAGTGTGACATTCACTGTAGCTACCACTACTGAGTGGGGAAGGGGAAACTGACAAGGAATCCTGAAATGTATAGCCAGATGAGTCTCCTTTGGACTTCCTTTCTGTCATCCATAATAAATTATTCTGTTCAATAGATAAGCACCATTCTCCCTTCACTTGCTCAAACCTTCATCACCATGTGGGAGAAGGAAATGCCTCTAGGAATCAAGTGAGAGAAGACAGTGGCAAGAGGATAGATTTATCCTCTCTCACTATATATTTTTGTGACTTTGCCACCTCATAGATTTTACTGGATCACATTGAAGTCATGACTTCCTTACACTAAAGCCAAGTGTATTTGCCATTAAAAGAAATAACACTCATGAAAGTACTCAGCATGTGAAAAGCTGAAACAAATCATAATGATCATCATGAAGGTAAAATAAAAGTGCATGAAGATGAAAATGAGATAACAATGGACCGAAGAGTCCCAATTATGATGGCGATCACGTAGGGAGTCTACGCTGGCAGACTCCATGAGGATCTGTTGGACAACAGTAGCATCGTTCTGGAACTGCTGGTTGACCATAAAATGGAGCTCCACCTGATGCAGGAGGTGGCACATGGATGCGAGGCATTTCACACTGTTCACAGAAACGTAAAGCTGGGTGATTGAGAAAGGTGCATTGAGGGCATGCCCATGGAGGTCCTTCCTCTGGTTCCACTTCCAATGACTCGGACTGACTTGGAGGAGGAGGTGCTTGTCTCATTGGCTCTGAACAAAGTTGCAGTGGGTAATTGGATGTTGATAAAGAATGCAGGTCTAAAGTCAATACATAGCATGTATTAAAGAGTAGAGAAAGCCAAGAGAGTGATACTCACGGAGGGGCTGAGGGGAGATGGGAGGAGGGGGACGGGCAGGAGGCTCCTTCTTCCTTCCTCCAGATTGAACATGTTGATGTTGATGTTGATGTTGATGTTGCTGCTGTTGCTGTCTGTCCATGTTTTTATAGAACTCTTCATCTGTTTCACCCAAAGGCACTACAATAAAAACTTTCATGATTCATAAAGACCCAGGGAATCAGACTGTGTGCTTCTAGTGTATGGTAAGGCCATTCCCATACCTTGACCTGAATGATAGAGGTCTATCTGCTGAGTGAGGCATTCACACTGCACCCTAAGCTTCCGAATGCTTGCCTTCAATGCCTGCAGCTCATCCAGCTGCACAAAAGATGATACATTTGATGATGACAGTGAATTGAAATGGGTTGGGAACAGATCAATATCAAAGCCATCCACGTGACATCCCTTAGGTCAACTGCATCTCAAGCAGAGATCACTCATGCCAAACCTGATGGACATCAGCTTGTCTATTTTAAGTTTCAGTGGCACAATAATAGTTCCACAGAAGTTGGGAATCAGTTGAAAAGTGAAACAAAATACCCACATTCCCCTCAAGATTTCATATATTTCTTTTATCCTGCCCAATCAAAACATGATTGACATCAGATTATCTCAAAGAAGATTGATGATGAAGCTGAGTCCTAACTTCTAAAACTAATCCCTTGTATACTTCCATAAATGTTTTAAATTACCAATATGAAAGGATAATTTAGTTATATATCCACAATAAATTATATATTAATAAATAACAATTATATCTTCGACCAATAACTGATATTATGGATTTTTCACAAGTAGCATGACTCGTCCCTATCCCAGATTCATAAAAAGTATGGCTGAACTGTTTGTCCTTTCTGGAATAAGAAAAACATTTTAGTCCTATCACACTAAAGCTCTCGCCTCTAGGAGCCCCAGAAGTGAAATCAGGCCAGATGAGCTAGAAAAATGTGGTGTAGCTCACAGTGGGGAGATTGGTGGATGGTGTAAGCCTGATCTTGAAGAGCTCCTCCTCCAGTTGATGCACCTCCATCTTGCAAGCCACAAGTCGCTCCTTTTGTTTCTTGTATTCTGTCTCCAGTTTTTGCAACTGTGCTGTTTGGTGCATCAGCCGAGCTTCCCAAAACAAAAAAAGAGGGAAAAATAGTGAAAATTCTCTGAGGAAGCACCAGATGCAATTTATTTTTAGTGTGCCTCCTTTCCCCCCAAAAAAGAACAAAATTGAGAGAGATCACATTCCCATTATTTATATCTATCAGCCTGTGTGTTTATCACTCTATTCCCACTTTTTTTACCAAATGAAAAAGAAAAAATATTGCCTTAATCATAGTGAGAACTGGCATGCAGATGCATACATTATCAGTCCATTTTCTTGCAGAGTTTATAACAGACATTTTACAGCAAATTTTTAAAGTGCACATATACCAGTATCAAGTGCTAAAGGTAGAGGAGAACTGATGTTGGATGGCACTTCCTCCCTTTTCTCCACACAATTATTCCTCACCATAATTGTGCTACTATTTTCTTTAAATGTTTCTCAGTTCCTGTGTATCAATCTATAAATAAATGATGGCAGTAGTACTTTTCTCAAGTAGGCAAAAGTAGAGCTCCAATCACATATGCATCAAGCTCCCCTGGGTATTTTTCTATAAATGACAGTCTCACTGACCTTGAAGATAGGCCTGTTCTTCATTCTCACTTGATGTAGGTGAGCAGCTGGATAAGGGAGAGAGGGGAACATATGAGTCCCACTGCTGTTGAATGTCAGGTTTGTCCAAGATGAGAGGTTCATAGGAAGAGATGGAGATTTCTGGAAGGGAAAAGTTCCTTGGCCGGGGTTCTATCACAGATATCTCATTTTTCTCACAGTCACCTTCTCCAGGGTTGAAAACCAAGAAGTTCATTGTAGAAACAGAGCTCTTCTCCAGCGATTTCAGATGGCTCCCATGATTTTCTGCCTGTCCTTGTTCCACAGTGATACACACATTCCCTGTCGACGTGGAGTATTTGAAGTTGCTTCCACTAATGGCCATACTTGTGCTAGTGTTTGCACTTGTGCCTGTAGGATCTTGAGGTGTGAATAGACTAAAATTAACACTGGATCGCATCCTCTCTGATCCAACTGCTTGAATTCCTTCTGCAATCTTGTTCTCATCTATTTTTGGAGAATTTTCCACTGTCTCTAAAGCACTAGTGGCATTTTCAGACAGAAAATCTCCATGGGATCTAGTTTCACTGTCTTGGAAAAATGTTGCTTTATGAGCTAAATCCATTGCACAATCCGAGTAGCTAGGAGAAGCTTGCTCCTTTTCTTGAGAGAAAGGATTTGGTGTTACTGTGAGGGAGCTGTTGCAATCATGCAGTGTGAATGGTGGAAGAGGAGCCGGGCTTCCTGTAACTCGCTGCCGCTTATACTTCTGTGACTCTCGCCAAAGATGCTCCAAGCACGACTGATTTGAATCTCCAAACTGCTCAGGAGTATAAAAATTTGCAGCACTTCAGATTACTGCAATGAAGTAAGCTTTGGCACACACACAATACTGGTATAATCAATCATACCAGGCCAATATATAAATTTAGAGCTGAGGACATCATTGGTTCATTTTAGGTTTTTTGTTAACCATATTTCCCTTCTTTGGATTCTGTATTCAGACTCAGCTTCTATCCCCCCCCCCCCTCTTGAAGTAGCACCTCATGACTCCCACAAGGTCCAAGGCTCTTATGAGCAAGATTCTGAGTATTATTCACTGTGTCTAGCTGATCTTGACACTGGAAAATCACTGCATTACACAGAGAACGCCATTGAGGCTAGGTTGCTACTGGTTTAGTAGAAAGAATGCCACTAATACAAAAGCACAGCTATACCATTGAGCAATACTTACTGGGCATATGCACATCAGTAGGTAGGCCAGTCTCAAGAATATGATGAAAAGAAAGGCCTAACATGCCACTCCTAGTCTTATGCTTAATCTCTACATAACTTTTCCTAGCATATTGAAGTCAGGTTTACCATGCATGATTTTGTAGAAAAGGGAAACTCTTGCATTCTTGAGTCTAGTTGCTAGAGTTTTCTATGCAAGGGAGCTAAGTTATTAGCCTGGCTATAATTTCTGTGGATAAACTGGACTGCTCTGTTCTCCACTCTCTCTAATGCCTGTATGTTTCCTGCTTCATGAGAATCCCATAATTCAAAAGAATATTCAAGGAAGGGGCAAACTAGAGATATTTATGCAGCCTTCCTAGCTCCTTTAGGAGTATTGCTGAGGTTAAGCTCCAGCAAGTCAAGTACCCTGTTGGCATTGAAGGTTATGGTGTTAATGTGTCTCTACCAATCCAGGTTTATGTTGATGGAAAAGCCTAAATATTTCATGAAGTTCATAGCTTCTAGAGGACTCCTTTCAAGCAAATAAGGTTCATGTAGGGGTATATTTACATACAGTTATTGACTCGAAGTTCATCTATTGTGGCCATGATCACATGATACAAGGGAGCAGGTATGATGTTAAGAGTACATGCATGACAGCCACAAGACATTGCTTGAGATGCTGAAGGTAGGGGCAGTTCAGCCAATCTTTTCAGGAAGCAGTTCTTGTCTTACAGCTGCATTCAGCTTGATTTCATAGACCTAGGCCCACATCTCTTATTTCCCCATTTCCTCTCCCCCACTCTCACCCACCAAAATTTGGACTAAGGAAGAGCACGAGGAGTAAGGATGCCGGAATCACATGTACCGTATGAAGATATCGTGTCTGGTTCAATTGAGAAGACGAACAGAATGAGCAGGTTGGATGAGCTGCAGGCATTGAAGGCAAGCATTCGGAAGCTTAGGGTGCAGTGTGAATGCCTCACTCAGCAGATAGACCTCTATCATTCAGGTCAAGGTAAACTCCAGTTGCTCCAACTGATTGAGTATGAAATCATTCTGGAAGGATATGAGGCCAAAGACAAGCCAAAAATGTAGACCCAAGGAATTATTCTGAATTCACTGCAGGCACACCTAACTTTGGCTAATCGTTCAACTTAATGCTATGCATGCTTCATCGCAGATTTCAGCAAATGCAAAATCCTACTTGTTCTCTAGAGGGATGCAGGGTAAGCCTAGCCGTTTGCCCCAGTAGGCCTATTGATGCGTGTATTGGCCTGTGAAATAGACCTGCAGCATAGATTGCCGAACGACATCATCAGGGAGTAGAGGAAACCTCTCCTTGAGACGGAGAAACAACTGCACGGCATGATTCCTGCTCATTCTGTTCGTCTTCTCAATTGAACCAGACACGATATCTTCATACGGTACATGTGATTCCGGCATCCTTACTCCTCGTGCTCTTCCTTAGTCCAAATTTTGGTGGGTGAGAGTGGGGGAGGACATAACTGAAGGAGCTTCTAAGAGCCGAGAATATTAAGTAAAACCTGTTTCAGTCAGACGTGGCCTTGGGAGGGAGGAGAGTTTCGTACACATGATTCCATGTGAGCAGCCATGATAGACCACAAGAGAAACTTCCCCGACCAAAGAGAGCACATTAATTATTCCGGTCCCTTAAGAATGGGCGATTTCGCTTTTTTTTTTTGTTTTCCGGTTCCCCCCTCCTAACGCGGTGTTCCTCATTTGTTTCTCTGCTAAAGCCTCCACGGAGGAATTGGAAGATTCCATCATGGTGCCACATCATTCGCGACTTTCATTCCATTCGATACCTAACGGAACTTTCTCTTTACCCTAAAAAAAAAGAGCGAAGCAGTACTATCTCGTGTTCAAGAAATTCCCCCAACTGACTCGTAAAATGAGTCAAAGAAGGCGCTCTAACTGCCCGCTTCCAACATCTAAAAAACTTCTGAGCACCAGGACGCATATTGAACTCTTAACTGCAGTGTCTCTGGACTGGTGCCAATCTACTGGGTGACTTTTGGGGGGGAAATTCGGGATGCGGGGCGATTGACATTGTACAGGTGATGCTTCGCCTCATGGCAGTCTCATCACAACTGCAGTTTCAAGATAAAGTTCACAGATAGAGGTACGTTACTGCACAGTAAATTTATCATCCACGTCTTACACCTTAAGAAAAAAATTGTTTAAAGCTGCATAAATACAGTGGTTTCGCGGTGAATTCACATAACCCTCATCAAACAAACCCTTGCTTTCCATGGCTCTACCAGCACCAGCGGAACTAACGTTTCTTCCGGTCCTACGTATAACGTGAACTGGTATTCGGCAGATGTCTCCAGAGCCGACACACCAGTGGCGCCAGCGTGCTTATGGGGGTGTGTGAACTTATCGCGAAAACACTGCAGGGATTAGGTTGGACGGAGACGAGAGAGCAGTGTGAGTTCCCACAGCAGTTCATGCACGAATCACTTTCAGCCTGGGCTTGATTGAGATAGTGAGGGTGCCATGCGCAGAAAGAACTTAGCTCTCCCGTCTCGGCCTAACCTAATCTCGTGTATCGAATCAAACAAAAGTCGAGTATTATCAAGACTCTCACACCAAAAATGCGGAACCATGATCGAATGTTACAATTCCTCTGTCGAGGCTGCAGCAGTGGAACAAAAGAATCGCGTTGAATAAGGTGGGGGAATAGAAACAATAACTAAAAAATTAAAGCAAAAGGAGCGAAATCTCTCTTTGGGTAAGGACATCTACGTGAGAAACAGTCACGATATCGATGCACGATAATTCCCCTATACCAAAACCAGGAGAGAGATGCAAATATCTTTTCTGCAGAGTAGATACTATCATATCGATGTGATTCCTTTGGCTCTGGGTACCAGCTACAATGATGAACATCAGACTTAGCTGCATACACATGATTCGGGGCGAACCTGCGTTGGTATCGAGAGCTCCTGTAGCAACGACCTGTGCAAGTACAAAAATCCCCACGCTTTCATCTCATTGACTCGCAGTCTGATTCCATGTCTGATGTTGATGCAAGGATGACGATTGGCAAGAGAAAGGGTGTCCATTCTACTCGGGACTAAACCGTTGCGCAGGAGGAAAATTAGACGTATTTGCAGCGATTCTTATAACGATAAGATATGGAACTTTGGAGGGAAGACAGTGATTCCATTCGACCGAGTCTGCACTCTCCTAGCCCACAGCAGTCATGATTACCGCGCGGATTTTGGATAGAGATACCATGCGCTTCCGCGCATGGAGTGAGCTGGAACTAGCTAAATCCATGCGTGCACGAGATAAAGTAGGGCTTTTAAATGGCGCAGGCGGATAGCGAACACGAAATAAGCCTTTTCATCCTCGTTTAACGATCCGTATGCAAAAAATGTATTAATGGGAGCTGGCCCAAGAGGACTGACCGATTTTAACTCCAATTTCTAGTTTGGTTGGCTGTCACCATCATTCCTGATGCACCCTCTTCGATACCTCACTCATCATAACATTCTCCACGTTTCTCCAGAAATTAGTTTTCGACGAGCCATAGCAGTTTTCTTCTACATCACGACAGCGGGCAGTTTTCTTGGTACGGATGAGCAAAACGGAAAAAAAAAGTCACGCGCCTCTGCCAAGGAACTTGATCGGATATACGAGGTCTGGCAATAAAGTTCCAGGACTGATTTTTTGTGAGTTTGTCAATATGACAAAAATCATTTTAATTCCATGGACTGATAGATTAGACTGTTGGGCAGTGTCGTACCAGCCCTCATCTGACTAGCATCTTTCATGAGAGTTTGGCTGGCAATTTAACAACTCAGTGCGTAAGGCGTCTGTCATATTCCAATAGTGAAGAAATGCTTCATCACATTTTGTCTCAATCCGGGAATACAGCTGCAGCGATCCATCAAATGTTGCAAGAAGTGTCTTGACAAGTTGTCTCGTCATCCTCCAAGAATCTTGAATAGTTTTCAAGACTTTCAGCCAGTAGAAATGACATTGAAAATAATGACTGATTCAGCCATCCCTTGGGTGAATGGTTGGTGATAGTTGGGGTTGAGGTGGATCTGAGTGTCTTCATTACTTGCTAAAGGCCTTGAAGGTCATTCAAAATTATTGGAGCCAAACAAGGAACTTTTCAAGACACTTCAGCAACGTTTCATGGATTACTGCAGCTGTATTCCCGGATTGAGACAAAATGTGATGAAGCATTGCTTCACTCTGGGAATGTGACAGACGCCTTACACACTGAGCTGCTACATTGCCGGCCAAATTATCATTCAAGATGTTAGTTAGATGAGGACTGAAATGACACTGCCTAACAGTCTAATCTATCAGTCCATGGAATGAAAATAATTTTTGTGATATTGACAGACTCACAAAAAAATCAGTCCTGGAACTTTGTTGCCAGACCTCGTGCAATAAACAGGAGTGGGGTGCTTCGTAGGATCAAAGAATGCAGAGTTATTGAACGACCCTCGTATACATGCCATCATATTCGTTTTTTTTATTACTAAAATCCCTATGTTTTGGGCAAACTCCTTTGCTCTTCTGGAAATCAAGTCACATTCCATCAACGAAGGATTTCATTTTCAGAATTACTGAACGCATTGCATGGACATCCTGATCATCCGCAGTTTAATAACATGGATACTAACTAGGGCTGTGCGATTTGGGTTTTTATTAATAAATGGATCGAGATCGCCAACTGTATATCGCACAACATCGCCATATCGTAAATCTCACGAGTCAGAATCCGATGCGACGCATAGCTACATGATGAAGTCCAATGAAACAAAAGGAACATGGTGTCTTATGCTCGTGACTAGGTCTTAACCTGGGGCGTTTCCTATCGAATGGTCTCCTCAACTTCCCGAGAAAAAGGCCGAGGACAATAGGTGCGTTAGTGGGAATCACATGGTGATGTATGCCACCTCCTTTCCCATATTCCATAGATCTAATGGTTGGGGGGAATCACTCCGAAACGAAACCTTCTGCATTTTGCTTTCCCTTCATCGGGTCTGTCCCATGTAGGCCTAGCAATTACGGGGAATTGGCTAATAGTGATGAAACTTCCACATTTAAAGTTTCCTTCGTCGATCAGGGAACTCTTCCCCTGCAATCAGCCATATTCAGCCATGAATGCATACAATGGTACTCAAGAAGGGTAAATATGAAGCTGAAAAACAATATCGCGATATACAGACAAATCGCTGATAGGAACAATATCGCGATCAGTGGCGTGCCCAAGGGGGAGGGGAGGTTTGGGGGTCATAACCCCCCCTTGGAGTCAATTTTACAGGTTTGACCCTCACAAATTTTTTAATTTGACCACAAATACAGGGGGTTATCCGTTTTTTCATATATTCCCCCCCCCCCCCCCAATTAAGGTGGGTAATCAGTGTTTCATATGGCAACCCTCCCCCCCATTCGGATTTCCTGAGCACGCCACTAATCGCGATAATCGACACAGTCCCAACAACCCATTAGACTCCTACATGCTTGAACTTACACTGCCAGCATTAGCGGGAATTAGGATGAAAAATTTGTGATAAAATGGTTGAACTCAGGCTCCTCTTGAATCACGGGTAAGTTGCGAGGACATTACGTTACATTGCTCAAATGTTGCGGTAAAGTCGTTGGAAAAAAGCAGTTAATGACGAGTCAAAAGACTTTGCTTACCTTGCCTCCTGCTCTGCCATTGCTTTGTGTTCCTGTGCAGCTGAGAGTTGTTTCCAAATGAAGTCCAGGAGGACAGATCGTGATGGCTCTGTCAAATCACGAATGTCTTTGTTCATTTTTCTCCACAGTTTTGCTAGAGCTGTCCAGAATTGAAAGAGAAGTTATGTGTTGCAGTACTACGCTGTATACTTGTCCTTAACTTTGGAATTCCCTTACTATCGACAAATCTAACAGTGTCTTTAGTCACTCATGAAAGTGACGTAACAGCTATCAAGAGTGTTTCTAAAGTCGCATTTCGGAAAATGCGTTATTCACATAGAGTCCTCTAGGAGCCACTCTTACCTAGTAGTGAGCGGTGCAGCAAGTTTTAGGTTCCTTCGAAATCTCAATGATTGAGATTCCTCATAATATTAACTGTCGTGTTGTACGCTAAAACCGAACTGGGCGTTCGCGTCAGAGAA